AGTGTCCTCTCTAGGAATCTCTAGGTCATCCAGCATGACTTCTGTTGGATGTTGACCATAGAGTTGTGCTGGAAGAACTAGATTCCTAGAGAGAACATATCAATCAAATCCGCAAAAGTCAAAGCCTCAGCCATGGAGAGCACACTGTACTTGAGATCTGTTTCTCAAGATAAATTTAACATTCTTTGAAACACCCTTGTAAAAGGAATGAGTTTGAGGTGGGGAAAGAGGTGGTGGTATTTTTTCTGCTTCCTTCTACATCCCAATTCTGGAACATTATCTTTTCAAGCTGGGAACATCAACACAGAGATTCTACCCTGAATTAACCAGGATGCTTCATTACAAAGGCATCGGATGAATGCCGATGGAGAACAGCCCTTTATTTGGAGAACAGTGAAGAGAAATGCATGGATCACCCAACCTCCCCCCATCATCCATTCTCTTGATAAAGATAATTGTATCTTGTCAGGTATGACGGGACCTGAAAAATATATGTATTCATCTCAGCAGCATTCATAACTTGAGAGAGTGGGATTGTGTGTGTGTGTGTGAACTTTGTCAAAAATGCATTCTTTGAATCAAAAGCCTATAGGATTGTATATTAGGGGTGGAATCACTGTGTGCAATCCCTGCATGAGAACCCGTAACATTGGCATCATTTTCAGATGAGGATCAATGGATTGATTTAATTTTTATTTATTTATTTTATCAATATGTCGCCTTTCTCCCTGAGTGGGACCCAAGGCTTGCTCACAGAAGGAAACTGCCCAAAAATCAACAGTGCAATTTTAATAGTCACAATAACATAACATTATTTAAAAACATACAAAAGTTAAACAAATAAGCTTCCCCGGTGTGATTACATATTTAAAAGCCAGCATGGTGTAGTGGTTTGAGTGTTGGAATTCAAGCATAAAAACTTACTAGGTAATCTTGGGCAAAGCACACTCTCTCAGCCTCAGAGGATGGCAATGGCAAACCCCCTCTGAAGAAACTTGCCAAGAAAATCCTATGATAAATTTGCCTTAGGGTCACCATAAGTCAAAAATGTCTTGAAGGCACACAAAAACAACAGGAAATCAGGGAAAGGGCCTGTCTAGCTTCTTGTGGAAGGGAGTTCCAAAGGATGGGAGCAACTGCTGAGAATATTGTGTCCTCACCAAGCAAGCTTGTGATGGTGGCAGGACCAAGTGAAAGCGTTCCCATAAAGAGATAATAATAATATAATAATAATATTTATTTATATCCCGCCCCTCTGCAGAGCAATCCGGGCGGCTTACAACTTCAAAATTTCCATACAGATATATCAATACGGTCTTGTATTTGAGTTATGGTCTTTCAGATATGTAAAGGGATCTTGTAACTCCTTTGAGACTACTGTATATGTTCAAATGTAAGTCAATGCCACGTATAAGTGGAGGGCAGGTTCTGAGGCCAAAAGTATGGATTTTAGTATGACCTGTGGATAAGTCGAGGGTAAACCTTGGGGGTATGTAACATCTAACAGATGAAGCAAAGGAAAACAATGCTAAAGAAAATGAATCCCATTTGGGGAGAAAAGTGGGATATAAATCCCATAAACAAATAAGCCTCAGGATCCCATCAGAGGTTGCCCTGGGACTTAAAATGGAATTGTAATGCAATAACTGTGCAGTGTGAAAAGGAGTGAGGAAGACAGAGAATTGGAGTCTGACAGTATCTGGAGGACTGTGGGCTTCTCTCTTGTGGAGCCAGCCCTACCATTAGGCAGAGTAAGGCTGCTGCTTCAGGCAGCAGATCTGGGGATGGGGGCATGATATGTGTTTTTAGCACATTATGTATTTGTTGGTCTGTTGTTGTTCCCCATCTTGATAGGCAGGTAAGAAATGATGATGATGAATAGGCAACAAAATGCTCGTTGTGTAATTTATTTGTGGTGGGAGGGGAGATGCCTTGAAACTTGGAGAGAGGTAGGATATAAATAAAATGGATGTTGGGAAGATATAGATGATCTAGATATATATAGAGTCACCATATGTCAGAAATGACTTGAAGGCACACAACAACTATATAATTGTTGTTGTGTGCTTTCAAGTCATTTCCAATTTATGGCAACCCTATCATAGGATTTTCTGGGGCTGGAAGTGTGTGACTTTCCCAAAGTCACTCAGTGAGTTTCCATGGCTAAGCAGGGCATCAGACCCTGATATCAACAATCGACCGCTGAAATCACTACACCACAATAGCTCATACATATGCATACATACACATTCATACAAGCACCTTGGGCACAGAGACTGAAACTCTCTCTCTCACACACACATACACACATATATCAGTGTCAATCTCTGATGCCCAAGTTGCTCATGGAAATGCCCTAGTTAGCTTTAGGTCCTGTGGACCTTGACTTGGGTGGGTGAGGAGGTCCCCTTGGATGCTGTGCCTCAGGCAGCAAAATCTTTAGGGCTAGCTCTGTCCTTTCAAGCAGCTGCTTTGGAGTTGCCACCTAGGAGAAACCCTCTGCGTGTGGCCTCAACCACATACCAGCCTTGGCAGTGAGTCTCTTCTGAGAAGGACTTATCTCATCTGCTTCATATTACAGGAGCCATCAACTTCTCCAGTCCAGCGTTGTAGTTTAAGAAGGCCGAGGAGAGAGGCAATGTGGTTGACAGTTACCTGGTTGAAATCCAGGTCCTGGGGGAATCAGAGACCCCATGTGAATGAGCATGGCCTTCTGGGTACCCCCTCCCATACTCCTTGCATTGAGGGGTTATCAAGGGCTAACACGGAACGGTGCTCCCAGTTCCGATGGCGTTCCCCCCGTGGCGCCGTTGAATGACAGCCAACATTCTGCTCTCTGTACGGCCGAGGTAAAAGGCACCGCTTTGACAAACACTCACAGGAAAATAATAAAGTGGCAAACTAATTTTGCATCGGACACACTTACCAGAGCATAAAGAGTCTCTGAAAAGGAGACATCTTGTGCCATCTATCTTCCTTAAACACCCAAGCTGTGACAAAGTGGAAAGCAAAATTATGATGAATGATGGGAGAGGTTTTTTCTGTCGGTACCTGGCTGCGTTAACCTGGCGGAATGGGTTCGAATGGGAAAAATGGGACTCCTACCCGAGAGGAGGCAAAAGAGGGAAAGGCGACGGTCTTTAAAACATACACCCATGCAGACAAGTCTTTATTATAAATCGCTACTTCGTTTTCATCATAATGAAGGCGCAGCTCGTGACATAAATTAAAAGCGGCAAGTGATAGGTCAGCATTGCGCCATGTTGCGCGAAGACAAATGGCCGCCGATCCCTTGACAGGGACTGTATCTCATTTACAATTTTTGGAGTACATTTCCCGATTGCAAAGAGGAACATGGTGAGGTTTTGTTCGTCATCGGCGTCGGCGTCATTTATTTTACTGCCTCATTTGAATATGATGAATACCGGAGGCCTTTATTTGTTCACAACAACCAAATAATTGTAGATCTACCAGTTTTGTGGCAATTAATCACAAAACAGGGAGATTTTTCTCTCCCACCCTTCTCACCCAACAATCCACTCCAAACATGACATTGAACAATAAAAAACATTAACCTTTGCTTTATAGAAATAGGCATAGGAACATAACACTGACATCAAAGATCCACTGGAATATTTTTTAAAGGTTTAAGCTTTGAAGCCTACAAGATTAGTAGACTGTAGACTTTCCAAATTTCACAGATTTATTGCTTTCCCTTCCTACAGGTATGGTTAGCAATGGTTAAGAATCAACCACACATAAAAAGGTGTTTGGGGACCAGTGATGAAAAGATTGATACTAGGGAAATAGAGTTTATCACATGGGCGCTTCCCTCCCATTATTGCCATTATTCCAGAATTAATTCATTAATTAAAGTGTGCGATTTGGCCGCTTTTTATTTTCGGGAAAATCCTGAAAATAAAAAGTGGTACATTTTGGCCACTTTATTCACGGGTTAATTCTGGGATAATGGCGATGTTAGGGGATGTCGTCTGAAATTCTACTCTTGCAGGATATTCCAATTCTACTCTTGCAGGATATTCCAAGATTTAATTCCCATTTATTCACAGGATTTGGATCCTTTGCCTCCTGTGTGATAAACTCCATTGTTGAAACTAAGCCTAGATTAATGAAGACTTTAGCATATGGGTCAACCAAAAATCTCCATATCTGGAATGGAGTGTATCCATGATCAGTTATAGTCTAGATTTTATAGGAGTTATCCAAGCTGCTGGATCCAATTTTGAAGATTGGGTTCAGAGATAACTTTTTTTTGCTGTCTGCCTTTCTGACTTACGGTGACTCTAAGGCAAACCTATCATGGTGTTTTCTTGGCAAGATTTGTGCCAAGGAGGCCTCTTCCTTTTTAAACAGAGGCTGGATGGCCATCTGTCGGGGGTGCTTTGATTCTGTATTCCTGCATGGCAGGAAGTTGGACTGGATAGCCCTTGTGGTCTCATCTAATGATTCCTCTGAGGCTGAGACTGTGTGACTTGACCAAGGTCACACAATGGGTTTCATGGCTGAGCTTGGAATCGAACCCTGGCATCTAGAGTCATAGTCCAACATTCAAACTACTGCACCACCTTGGCTCTCAACTACTGTCTCACATAACTAAATATTTCACAAAAAAGACTGAATATCTTGCATCTTTTGAACCTTGGGTATTAGTTGTGCCATTTCTTTAATCGCCAAGGGTGGAGGATTTGCTGTTGCAAAGAATTCACTTCCCACCACTCAGCAAAGGCCTCTATTCTCCGTTGCATTTTGCAGTTGTCATCATGCCCAGTGCTAAAAGGGTCTCTGCATGTGTGTGTGTGTGTCAGTTTTTTTAACCAGAGGCACTCTCATTTGGGCCTGTCTGAAGCTTTCCCTTTCTGATGCCTCAGGCTAGATTCGGAGTGCTTAAAAGGGATGCTTTCTGCTCTGTGTGCACCATGGGACCTCATCACGGAACAGCAATCGCAAGGAATTTTGGAAGGAGACTCCAGGATGGCACGGAGGCATGCTCACGTGGATGCGCTCCATGCTTTCCAACATTTTGTGGATAATACAAAGGATACCGTAGCAAAACCTTCATGCTTGCATTCAATGTTATTGTCAGATTCCCTGATTCTATCAACTATCCACCACAGAAGACAGTAGCTTGGGAATTTGTGTGATAAGTACACCTCACTAATTTCTACATGGATTTCTGTTTGTTTTTCCCCCACTTAGTGGTTCTGTCTAAAGAAACTTTGTGGTAGACAAGAAAATGGGAAAAAAATATCATCCAAATGTGGTCTTTCTTCAGATGGTGACCTTATGAATGAGAGGCCTCCAAGTCCTCCAGTCTTTGACTGCTCTGCTTAGGTTTTGGAAACTCAAGGCTGTGGGAAGTCGTAGGCTTTCATGGCCGGCATCCATAGTTTTTTGTGGGTTTTTCAGGCTGTGTGGCCATGTTCTAGAAGAGTTCTAGAAGAGTTCTAGAAGAGTTTCTTTCTCTACAACATTTTGGAAAGAAAGTTTCTTTCTTTCCACAACATCAAGGCTGTGGCTTCCTCAGTTGAGTCCATCCATCTGGAATGCAGTCTTCCCGTTTCTCTACAACCTTCTACCTTACTAAGCATTATTGTATTTTTTAGTGAATTATGTCTTCTCATTATATGTCCAAAGTATGACAGTTAAGTCATCTTGGCTTCTAGGAAAAGTTTGGGCTTGATTTGCTCTAGAACTCATTTATTGGTCTTTTTAGTAGTCCATGGTATCTGCAGAACTCTTCTCCAACACTACATTTCAAATGAGATGATTGTCTTCCTATCTGCTTTCTTCACTGTCCAGGTTTCACAACCATGCATAGAAATAGAACAAGAATGCCATGGACAATCCTAACTTGAAATGTCTTCCTGCATGCACTGGGAGACCCTTGGGGTCTCTTCCAACTTATGATTCTAGTATTCAGTTATCTATCTTAACACTTCAAAATCTTGTCCAATTCCTTCATAGCTGCCCTTCCAAGTCCTAGAACATGATCGCATGAGCCCTGTTCTCGCCGTAATCACGTCAATTAATAAAAACGGAAACACAGATGGTCATCTTTCAGGAGTGCTGTAATTCTGTATTCCTGCATGGTGGTTGTTATTGTTGTTAAGTGCCCTCAAGTCAACCACAACTCATGGCAACCCTGTGGATGAGACATATCCAACAGCATTCCTATCTTCCACTGCTTTACTTAGATCTTGTAGATTCAGATTCATGACATCCCGGACTGAGTGTATCTGGCATGTGATCTTCTTCTCTTTCTATTAGCTTCAGCCTTTCCTGGCATTATTGTCTTTTCTAGGGAGTCGTGCCTTCTGATGATATGGCTAAAGTACAACAGCCTCAATTTGATCATCTTGGCTTCCAGGGGAAATTCAGGCTTGATCTGTTCAGGGGCCTATTTGTTTGTCTTTTTGGCTGTTCACAGTATCCTCAGCACTCTTCTCCAGCACCACATCTCAAATGGAGTGGATTTTCTTCTTATCCACTTTTTTCACTGTCCAGCTCTCACATCCGTACATGGCGATGGGGAATGCAATGGCTTGGGTGGTTTTAATTTTAGTGCTCTGCTGTGTACCTTCACTGCTTAGGATCTTCTCTAGTTCTTTCATTGCTGCCCTTCCCAAACCTTGTCATCGCCTTATTTCTTGACTGCAGTCTCCATTCTGAACAATGTTTGATCTAAGGTACAGGAAATCTTTAACTATTTCTATCTATTCCTTGTCTAGGTAGAATTTATGGAAATTCTGCATGGTCATTATTTTTTTTTTATGTTTGAACATCAAGCCTGCCTTTGTACTTTCTTCTTTGACCTTCCTTAGTAATTCCTCCAAGTCTATGATGTTTTCCACTAGTAATATTGTGTCATCTGCATATCTTAGATTGTTGATATTCCTCCTATAGTCACTTCTCCTCCTTCTGAACAAGTAGGGAGATGAAATTCAGCCTTGACTGACCCCTTTGCCAATAGGGAACCATTCTGTTTCTCCATATTCTGTTCTTATGGTCTTAGTAATATTCTTGTCCTGAGTATAAATTTCATATCCGACCCCTTCCATCTCTATAATTCTATGATTTCAATTGTGTGTAGCATGAGAGGGCCCCAGAATGGATGCCGATGACTTTGCCATTGCTCATCATCCAGTTCTGGAATGGAATCTCAAAGTTCTTACATTTAAACCAGATCTAGAGGAGCAGCAATTGGGTCCCAGGAACAATTACTGGAGACAGTCAAAGAAGAAAATGCAAAGGTGGGCTTACAGTTGAATATTAAGACAGTAAGAATAACGACCATGGATTTACATTTCCATAGCTTTAAACTAGACAGTTAAGAGAACCAATGTGGTGTAGCGGTTTGAAAGTTGTACTATGGCTCTGGAGATCAGGGTTCAATTCCTCTCTTGAGCATAAAAAGCCACTGGGTGATGTTGGGCAAGTCACACTCTCTCAGCCTCAGAGGATGGCAATGACAAACCTCCTCTGAAGAAACTTACCAAGAAGACCCTGTGATAGGTTTGTCTGAGGGTCGTCATAAGTCAGAAATGACTTGGAGGCACACAACACCAAACCAAAGCCCAGGAACAGAACAAGGAGGATCTTCAGCTCTCTGTGTAAGCATTTCCAACAGCCTGTCTGCAGTTTTGCATTACAGCCCTTTCTTCCTTTTCCCTTTCCTCCTCCTCCTTTCCCTCCCTCCCTCCTTCTCTTTCTTTCCAAATGGATGGTGGCAAAGGCGTGCTCCAGCTGCCAGTGCCTTGCTGCCCTTGTGCAGTTGCCTGCCAGTTGTGCATTGCCGATTGCAATGAGTGCCACCATCTGCCGTGCCACGTGGACATCATAATCTTTTCTTAATTACATTAGCCGTGCAATCAGTTACTGCATTACAAGGCCGGTGATGAGCTTTTAAATCTTGCTGGAAATCATAAATAATTGCAATAAGTGCCAGGCGCCAGATGTGAGTGCCAATTCAGCATGGGCTAGATAAATAGCAACCTTCCGATGCAGCCTTCCACGGCTGTCCAGCAGGGCCATGGGAAGGGCGGCATCTTTTCCCCTTCCACTTTTGGTACTGTACTGTATTGTTGTCTTTATTTATTTATTTATTTGATTTACATCCCACTTTTCTTCTGAATGGTGTTCAAAGCAGCTTACAATGTAGTCAGCTCTCCATATCCATGGGCCTTTTATCCATGAATTCAACCATCCATGGCTTGAAAATATTAAAAATATATATAAACTCCCAAAAGCAAACCTTGATTTTTGACATTTTATATAAGGGACACCATTTTACTATGATGCCATTGTATTTAATGGGACTTGAGTATCTACAGATTTTGGTCCTGGAACCAAACCGTAGTGGATACCAAAGGCCCATTGTACCTTAAAACCAAACATCTCAAACAGGATGGAGTGCAAAAGTTAAAAGAGCATTACACCATATATTCAATTAAAACACTCCTTCTGAAACACTGAAATTTAAAACAATTCAAATACCGTAGTTTAACTCCCCCCCCCAAAAAAAAACACAATTGCACATCAGTGCACCCTGGTTAGCCTGGTTAAAGAGGAAGGCCTCTTTAAACAAGAAAGTCTTTGCCTACTGGCAAAGAGATAGCAGAGATGGGACAGATCGGACATTTCTCAGGATGGAGTACCAATGCCTAGGAGCAACCACCAAGAAGAACTTCTCATATGTCCTCACCAGCCAAGCCTGGGAGTGTGGTGGGATGGAGAAGGAAGGAAGGAAGGAAATTGAAAATCTGAGGGAGGGAGAGAAGGAAATTGGAGAGAAGGAAAAAGTTGGAGAGAAGGAAAGAGGTTGTAAACTTGAGCATGAGAAATGGGCGAAGTGGAGAAGGGAAGCAAAGGAAGGAAGGACTTTGAGGAATGGAGAGAAAGAAATGGAAATTGGAGAGAAGGAAAGAAATTGTAAAATTGGGAAGATGAATTGTAAACTGGAGCATGAAAAATGAGGGAGGGAGCAAAGTGGATAGGAAAGGGAGGAAGGTGCAAATTGAAAGGAGAGAAGAGCAAAGAAGGGAGGAAAGGAGGATGGAAACAGGAAGGAAGGAAGTTGCATACTGGAAGAGGGGAAGCAAAAAAGGAATTTTAAAATTTGAGGAATGGAGGGACAGATAATTGGAAATTGGAGAGAAGGCAGAAAGTAAGTTGCAAACTAGAGGAAAGGAAATGTGGAGGTAAAATAGAGAGAAGTAAGTTGTAAACTGGAAAATGGAGAGGAAGGAGGAACCTGGAAACTGGAGAGAAGAAAGTTGTAAATTAGAAGGAAAGAGGGAGGGAAAAAGGAAGGATTCTCCTCCTTTGGGTCAGTTGACCATCCTACTTAGAATCTCCATATGAGTGAGCCAAATGGCATATACAGTTGACCAAATGTGACACAAAACCTGCCAAGGAGCAAGTCTGCAAAACATCTACATAACTCTGGATCATCAAATATTTGTGCATGCCAGGCCTGATCCAGGATCTACAGGGGAATCTTCGCGGCCCTTCTTGTACCAGGGATGTAGCCTGTGGGTTGGGTTCTGGGTTTGTGAATAACCATTTCAAAGCTCAGAGGCCCCTCGGTCTTTCCCCACCTCCGGTTCCCAAATGCACAGTATGCCAATTACTACGAAGGCATTTCTGAACAGTTTATAAACCTGTTTTTACCAACAGCTGTTAGTGTCTGATGAGCCATGGGGCATTTCTGTTAGGGAAAACCAGTTATGGAGTTTATAGCCAAGGCACTTAAATATTATGATCCCTAATATATAAATAGCAGCACACATGTTGCAGCTGTTCTCCTTTCATTTCAAGGAAGGCTTTAAGTTCTTTGACCTGCAGCGTCTTTTTTTCCATTTTTAATGTCAAGCAACCAGCGGGGGGAGTGGTAAATTTTGAAATGGAGACTCTCTCAGCATGACAGCCCCTAGAGCAATATCTCCAAGGAGAGTCCAAAATGCGAGGGATTGTGTTGGTCTATGAGAGTGTGTACATCTCAGTTAAGAATGTGTTCGTGGGCATTACCGTCCTCCCTCCACATTTACGCTTTGACTTTTGCAAGTTTGATCATTCATTGATTTGATTAATATGTTCTCTCTAGGAATTTCTAGGTCCTCCAGTGTCACACTATTTCAGTTTCCACCAGAAATCATGCTGGAGTACCTAGAGATTCCTAGAGGGAACAGTTCTTGAGGCATTTGTATATTCTCCAGTGCAATTCTGCGGTCAACCTCCAGCAGATGCTGATCATAGAATTGCAGCGGAGGACTTAAGGAATCCTAGAGAGGTGTTCTCTCAGGTTAAAAAAAGTAGTGAGGTTTTTGTGTTTTTTCTCCTTTCACAGGGGTCCAGCGCCCCTAACCCCAGCAAACAGCATTTCTTTAAGAGAAAATGGAGTAGCCTTGGCAAAAAGAACATGGAAAGAATAGGGGGAGGTTCCTGCATGGAAAGGAAGAGCAGTTCTGCGTGATTCAGTACGCAATTTTATTCCGAATTAATGGTGCAAACGTCTGAAATGAAACAGGTGAGTCAGGCAGGCCTTGCAGAAGTGAACAAAAACATTTTGAACCTTTGCAAGACCACTTGAAGGCTTTTTCGAAAAACATCCAGGGCTGATTTTTTTTTTCTTTCAGCAGCCTCAACTTTTATTCTGATTTGCATTTTGGGAGCCAAACATATCAGGGTACCTTTGTTAACATCCTGGGGACAATAGGTGAGGATGTTGGTGACTATATATGTTGTGGTTTTAAGGGACCCTGAAAAGAAGTTTCATGCAACCCTTATCTCCACCATGAAGGCTGCTGGTTCCCATTACTTTTCTTGCATACCAATACCAATATGCAAACATAGCTAGTTCCCTTTGTCTGTCTTGCATACCAATACTTTTGACTACAGGTCTCCCTGCCACCACCTCAAAAGGTTTGGAAGGACAAGGTTTGGAAGGACATCACCCCCTGCTGCCCTCTTTCCACCCCCCTTGGATCTTTCAATTGCCCCCCTGTGGGACATCTGACTCACTTTTGGAATCACTGGAGTAGATGAAGCTCACCTGCAGTACCTCCTCTTGGCCACCTCTACTGATGGCAGCAGAGAGTTATAGCTCGCTCTTCTTGCCAGATATCAATAGTTCCCTCTTCTGGCCAGTTAGCACATTCATGCCAATGATTTTTTTTCTGATGTCTCCCATTGACTCCTTGACTTTCTTCATACTGAAGCTGTCCTTTATGCACCGCAGATCACATTGTTCAGAACTGACATCCCTTGACAGCATCGGGCGATAAGCCAGTTTCCTAATTCCTCACTCATAAACCCATGTTAGCTTTACCTTTGTTGCGTTAATGGAGGCATCACTCCGTTAAAAACAACAGCAGCATAGCAGAATTCATTGCCCACAAGGAATCCAAAAGTTCAATGAT